GATTTTGCATACTATACATGTCAGTGACACTGGTCTGTAGTTTAATGCTTCATGTCTGTCTCCTTTTTTAAAGATTGGGACTACATTTGCTGTCTTCCATGCCTCAGGCAATCTCCTGTTTCGATAGATGTATTGAATATTGTTGTTAGGGGTACACATAGCGCCTCTGCTCTGTGTGTGTGTGTGTGTGTGTGACTCAACAATCAATATTTGCACCAATAACTCACTACAGTTGTAACCGGGTGTGGAAGTGTGAATTGCTCATTACTCTAAAATTTGTTCATGATTGTAGCCATGTATAAATGCAAGTAACCATTCTTACAGTATTCATTACCTTTGTAACTTGTAAGTTCATTACCTTGTACCTAGTTCAGCCATCAAAACTTTGGGGCCCAGTCCCTGGACCCATTGTGTACCTCTATAATCTGTTAATACCTTTGTAACTTGTCATGATTGTGACTAGACCTACCTGGAGTTCATTACCTTTGTAAATTGTGAGTTCATTACCTTTGTAAATTGTGAATTCATTACCTCTGTAACTTGCTCAGCCATCAAAACTTTGAGGCCCAGTCCCTGGACCCATTATGTACCTCTGTAATCTTTTGACTACTGCCCACAGGATGGGTGTGGGGTGCATAATAAACATATTAATCAATCAACCTTTGCTGGCCTTAAATTCACTCACATCATCACTAGTTGCAGGCATTTTTCTAATTAAATCCTGATGCAACTTCCTAGCCTTTTCACTTACGATCGCTTGAGAGATGCTATCTCCTGTTATGTTTTTCGTTTATCCACACCAATAACAGTCTCTCAACATCTATCACTTGCGATCTCTGTTTCAAAAACAAAGTTGCACATTTGGCAAGAACAGCTTCCTTGATTGCCGTTTTCTTGGACACAATAGTAGCGATGGTTGATTGGGGTTTACTATACATGTACAACCTGGCCAGCTCGGAGACACGTACTCCACTTTCATACTTAGCAATGATCTCTTTCTTCATCTCCATAGTAATTCTCACCCTTATTCCTGTAGGGTTGGCACTAGAAGCTTTCTTAGGGCCCATGGTCACTTATTTTGCAGGTGAAATCACTAAAATTGCTGTAATAATACGAAATGTTCCGATTGTATGCTTGGATGTTACCGCGGAGGCTGGCTTGTAAACAATGCCACCGGCGGAACATGTGAGGCTGGCTCGGGCCGCATATAGACGCGTCTCGGATGAATCGCGTTGAGCAAGTTTTTTAGCGCTATGCGAGGCAAAATTTTAGCGATAAAATGTAACGCTAGGCGGATTTAACGTTATGTGATGCCAACGTTAGGCGGGGGCCCACTGTATCATGTTTAACAATACCTCTCTTTAGTAATATCAGTACCATCCGACTTACAACCGAATTTGGTTCTGGCCAACTGGTCGTAAGTCAAAATGGACACAAGTTGAAACTTAGAAAATTACCGACATACTGGGTAGGGCATTATGTCAAACGTTTGCTATATAAAGTATGTACTATATAGTATCGTATGTTACTTTTTACTATATGCCAATAATCTTCTAACCAAACACTGAACACTTTTTTCATCTCAGCAACTGGGCCTTCATGTTCTTTGTGATAATTGTCGCTTGCATATTTCAAATCCTACCTTACTAATAGGTATCAGTATATCACCATTAAAGACACAGCATCATCAACACAGTCACTTGATACTGGAGTTCCACAGGGAGGTGTCCTTGGACCCCTGCTCTTCCTCATTTACATCAATGATCTTCCAAACGTATCCCAACACCTGAAACCCATTCTCTTTGCTGATGACATGACTTATGTCATCTCTCACCCTAATCTTGCCACCCTCAACACCATTGTTAATGAGAAGCTGCTCAAAATATCAACTTGGATGACAGCCAATAAACTTACACTTAACACAGACAAAACCTACTATATTATGTTTGGTAGCAGAGCAGGAGATGCACAACTAAACATTAAGATTGACAGCACTCTAATTGCCAGACATAATGAGGGCAAATTCCTATGCCTATACCTCAACAACCTGAATTTCAGCACCCATATCCAACACATATCAAAAGAAGTATCCAAAACAGTTGGGATCCTCTCCAAGATACAATACTTCGTGCTGCAAAATGCCCTTCTCACACTATACCATTCACTCATTTATCCATACCTCACCTATGCTGTTTGTGCTTGGGGTTCAACTGCAGCAACACACCTAAAGCCAATAATAACTCAACAAAAAGCCACAGTAAGAATAATCACTAAATCCCATCCCTGGCAACACCCCCCCCCCCCCTACTCTTCATAGATCTAAACTTGCTCCCTGTTCAGAACATCCACACTTACTACTGTGCAATCTACATATACAGGACCTTAAATTCCAATATTAACCTTGACCTAAAATGCTTTCTTGATAGTTGTGACAGGACCCACAGGCATAACACCAGACACAAACATATCTACGACATTCCCCGTGTCCGACTAAACCTTTACAAAAATTCAATACACGTATATGTCAAAGGCCCTAAAATCTGGAACACCCTACCTGAGAACTCTAGAACTGCAGACACATTCATCACCTTCAAAACTACTGTTAGAAAACATCTTATCTCCCTGATACACCCCGTCAACTAACTACAGGAATACCACCTGGTGGTTCACACTTACACTCACTCACCCATTTGACTATAAGCACAGAAATACATATCTTAATCTTAAAATAATGATTCCTAACTAGTCACAAGTTTGCCTGTGATACTCCAATATAGAAACTATGTATTGTGCCGAAACAAAAGCATTCACATTGCTAAACTCACAAACTAGTATTTAGTCACTTAGTATTTAGTCACTTAGTATTTAGCCAACTAACTCCACAATTTGTAATAATTTAGGGTTAAGAATTAATCTAAGTTTGCCCAAAATGCCTAGCCATGCTAGGTGTTCTAGTAGCCCCCTCTGTAATTATTATTTTACTACATGTAAACCACACAATATCCAAAATCTGTAAACCCCGCATTGTAACCCTTATAGAGAATAAACTTTTATTTTATTTTATTTTATTTGACTTCATAGGGGCCAAAGATTTCACTGCTTCTCTGATGTGGTCTTTATCTTTAAGTATTGTCGACACAGTGGAATGAGAGAGCTGAAAATCGTGAGAAATGCTGTTAGACATTTTTTCCATCCTCGTACTGTTTAATTTCATCTTCTGGTCGAGAGTAAGAGCCTCTCTTGCCTTCTTGCCACAAACTCCAGTGCAAGATTCAGACTTCCTCTTAGGGGCCATGGTGAAATTTACTGTCCAGGTACATATATACAGTATAGTACAGTTAATACAGCATTATTCTGCTGATAGGGCAGGGTAACTCAAAGTGATGCTGCCTGAGTGATGTGAGACCTCTCCCGAGATGGCACATTGCCACGAGCAGTGGTCAATGTCATACAGCGGTATGTATCGGCCCACCCAGCCCTGCTACCAGATGTACGGTCATAAGTATGTGTGGTCGTATGTCGAGCAGGTCATAAGTCGGATGGTACTGATATATAATTGAAATTTACCACTCAATAACCTATATCTAGTCTTAAACAGTAAGCATCAGGTCTGGTCTGTCTGAAATGCTCTGCATGTCAGTGGCTTTCTTTGTGTTTAACAATATTTTATTGATAAATTAGACACATGTGCAAGTAAATCACACATTGTATACTATGCAAAGAAATAAAGTTACCTATTTTGCTTTGTTTGTTGGAGTAAATTTGTATTTATAATTTGAGTACAGTCAGGTACAGTAAACTTTCAATATAATGGACTTATGAAACAACAGACAATATCCACTGGATAAAATTTATTACACAATTTTATTCTTAAAAACACAACTGGAAGCAAACCAAGGAATGGGTGGGATTTGAACCCATGGCAAGATAGTACTGAAGTTCCCAGTTAGTGTATAAGGATAGAAGTTTAGGACTCACCATGACTTCAAACCCCTACCAGTTCCATGGTTTATATTTTTTTTTTTTTTTTTAATTCATTTAATTTCAGTTTTTTATGGTTGCATGCTGTATAGTCCTTGTGGCTTAGCGCTTCTTTTTGATTATAATAATAATAATTTATGGTTGCATAACTAAATTCTGTGTAGTATACTAGGTCTACAGTAGAGTACTTAATTGATTTGTTCTTATATTATTTAAACATACCTGGAGGGGGTTTCGGGGTTCAATGCCCCCGTGGCCCGGTCCATGACCAGACTTGGTGGTGGATCAGGACCTGGTTACATGTAAACCAACACAAGAACCACAGCCTGTAAGTAAGTAAACAAGTAAGTAAGTAAGTAAGTTTATTCAGGTATACACAAATACAGTTACATAGATTATCATACATAGCAGCATATGTGTAGAGAACCATCCAGGATAACCCTTAAAAGTCAGACAAAGTGACTTATTTCCATTGGGGTCCTGGCTGGTCAGGTACTGACTTTGTGTCTGTCCAGCTCTTGAAGACAGCCAGGAGTCTTGAAGACAGCCAGGAGTCTTGAAGACAGCCAGGAGTCTTGAAGACAGCCAGGAGTCTTGAAGACAGCCAGGAGACTTGAAGACAGCCAGGAGTCTTGAAGACAGCCAGGAGTCTTGAAGACAGCCAGGAGTCTTGAAGACAGCCAGGAGTCTTGAAGACAGCCAGGAGTCTTGAAGACAGCCAGGAGTCTTGAAGACAGCCAGGAGTCTTGAAGACAGCCAGGAGTCTTGAAGACAGCCAGGAGTCTTGAAGACAGCCAGGAGTCTTGAAGACAGCCAGGGGTCTTGAAGACAGCCAGGGGTCTTGAAGACAGCCAGGGGTCTTGAAGATAGCCAGGAGTCTATTGGTAATTGCCCTTATGTATGCCAAGAGGGAGTATAAAATTAAAATTATTATTATAATTATTATTATTATTATTATTATTAATGTTGTTGTAAAATGCAAGCACTAAACCCAGCTAAGAGTAAACTTTCCTTGACAGATCATACAACTTGTATGAGAACGAAGACGGGAGCGATATCATCCTGATGGTGGGAGACGAAATTTACCGGGAGAGGATCCCAGCCCACTCATGGGTCCTTGCTGCTGGGAATGAAGTCTTCAGGGCCATGTTCCAGGGACCCCTGGCTGACAAGCACAAAAAGACTTACAACATCTCAAATGACCCCAAAGGCTTCCAAAATCTTTTGAGGTAAATTTGAACCTTCGAAATTCTGTCCTTCTAATGAGAGAGTGAATTTTTAACAATAAAAAGGCACAATACCATGACTGGAACAATTAAAAAATATCCTGCACTCAGACCATTTACAAGTTACATTTGACTTGTAAATGGTCCAAGGCAGACCATTTGTGAATTTCTTACATTTATTCTAAAGATATGCCTTTTATTTTTGTGACAGTAAGTTACGTTACATTAAATTGTCATCTTTTAGCAAAAAATTATCATTTGCACAATAGCCTTTTCAGGAAATTAATTTTTTTTTTTATTTTGACTAAAATTACTAGATTTTTGGTTTTAATAAATTTTGAGAAAAGGTGCATAACCTCAGATTTTAATAACAAAGACCCAGCAAACAAATAAATATTTCTATAGAGTGGAGTAGTATATTATACAATTAAGGTGACTGACAAACAGCAGGTCCCCCCGTATCTGCAGGGGATATGTTCCAAGACCTATCGTGGATATACCTGAAACCATGGAGAGTAACTAACCCATTTTTCATTTACAATTTATGTCTATGATAAAGTTTAATTGATAAATTATGCAAAATAACTTATTAAAGCCATATAGTGGAACTAGTTGATTATTCAATTTTCCTGTATTCACTGTAACTCACCTAATGACCATATGAACAATTACAACACTATACATGTAATTGTCTTATTAATCTTAAGTTAGTCTTAAGATTGAACATCAAAATGGTATACAAACCGACAGGTTGTTAGGTAAGACACATATGCAACAGTTAGACAACTTTATTCCGAAACGTTTCGCCTACATAGTAGGCTTCTTCAGTCGAATACAGAAAATAGGCAGGAACAGTAGAGATGTGAAGTCGATGTAATCAGTCCATCACCCTTGTAGTCGTAGAATTTGAGGTTGTCAGTCCCTCGGCCTGGAGAAGTTCAGTTCCTGACTATGGAACTGAACTTCTCCAGGCCGAGGGACTGACAACCTCAAATTCTACGACTACAAGGGTGATGGACTGATTACATCGACTTCACATCTCTACTGTTCCTGCCTATTTTCTGTATTCGACTGAAGAAGCCTACTGTGTAGGCGAAACGTTTCGGAATAAAGTTGTCTAACTGTTGCATATGTGTCTTACCTAACAGTCTTAAGATTGCCCGAAATGCTCTGCATATAAAGGGGCTTTTGGCATGTTCACCAAAATGGTACATTCCTTTGTACAAACTTGTATCATGCTAAAATAAAATTGTTATTGTTATTTCTACAAGTACATATACAAGGTATACAGATCATAGCTGACATCAATGACATACTATTATATAGAAAGCTGCTTGTTATGCGCAGCATATCAGGAAAATTTGATTAACTTTGCCCCCAGGATGCAACTGACACCAGTATACTAACACCCAGTTACCTATTTTACTGATGGGTGAACAGTGACAGCAGGTGTCTTAAGGAAATACATTCTAATGTTTCCACCCGTACCACCAGTGACTAACACCTGTTGTCACTGTTCACCTAGCAGTAAGTAGGTACCTGGGTGTTAGTCTGCTAACACCTGTTGGCCATGTTCACCTATCAATGAAATAAGTACCTCGGTATTAGATGATTGGTGTGGGTCGCATCCTGGAGACAAAACTGACCTAATTTGTAGGAAATGCTCAGCATAACAAGGGTCTTTCTATATAGTAGTATGTCACTGATGTCAGCTATGGTCTGTATACCTTGTACATGCACTGGTAGAAATGAAGTTGTTATTATAATACAGTAGGACCCCCATATCTTCGGAGGATATGTTCCAAGGATCTGCTTGGATACCGAAACCGCTGATAAAGATAAAGCTAAAGAGTTTATTTCTTAATAATAATAATAATAATAATAATAATAATAATAATAATAATAATAATAATAATAATAATAATAATAATAATAATAATAATAATAATAATAATATATCTTTATTTACTACAAGTACATGTACAAGGTATACAGACCATAGCTGACATCAATGACATACTACTATATAGAAAGCCGCTTGTTATGCTGAGCATTTCCCACAAATTAAGTCAGTTTTGTCCCAGGATGCGACCCACACCAGTCCACTAACACCCAGGTACCTCTTTTACTGATGAGTGAACAACTGAACATAGACAACCGGTGTAAAGAAACACGTCCAATGTTTCCACCCCTTCACCGGGAATCGAACCCGGACCCTCACCATGTGAAGCAAGAGTTTTTGCCACCAGGCCACGGGACACCATAGAGGTTATAATGTGTAATTACAGTTTTGGTTTGCTAAGTGCAAAGAAAACCACTATCATGCTGGGGCATTTCAGGCAGACTAATCTTAGTACATAATAACTATTTAAATCTAGACAAGATAAGAGTGGGCAACTTTTATTAAAATCTTTATTTAACCTTAATACTAATGCAAAGTAGTCAAGGTGGAGGTTCATAAGAATATTAATCTTGAAGTTGTACATAATAAAAATAATATTACAAATAATGGTTCAAATAGTAATATTACATGGATTAGCAGATGTTTAATAGACTAGGGGTCATATAATATTTGGGAGAGTTGCTTTAAACTGATCAGAAGTTGTTTTGTTTAGTTTGGTTAGTAGTATTAAGAGATGAGATGATTTTTAAGCAAAGTCTTAAATTTATAGGTAGTCAGGGGATCCTTAATTGGTTCAGGTAGTAAATTCCAGAGTAAACCCTATATGTAAGTCCTATACATACCTATTATAAAGTTTAATTTATTTATTTATTTATTTATTTATTTATTTATTTATTTATTTATTTGAACATGATACAGTGAAGTACAAGGAATACAATTTTTAAAGAGCAACATGCCAAAGCCCCTTGTATGCAGAGCATTATGGGCAGGCTTAAAATTAACTTAAGATTAACTAAGCAATGATATATTCAGTGGTACAAAAATTATTGTAAAACAGATAACAATTTAGTACAAATGAGTATTACAAAGACAGGTCATATGGTCATTTACTGTGTTGTTGTGTAATCAGTAGAATGGAGTATTATGTTAGGTAATGAAGTTAAATAGTAAATGCACCATAAGTGGAGAATTATCACTTTTTCACTTATGGGAACCACTTCACGAGTTCTCTTAGGCTATGAAGAACTGCCACCATCACTAATTTTGAATTAAGGATTATTTTGGCCACGGTAAACCGCGGATAGCTAAAACTGTGGATGACTGAAACCATGGATGCCAAATCTGTGTTTACCTGGAGTTTACCTGGAGAGAGTTCACTCCAGGTAAACACAGATTTGGCATCCATGGTTTCAGTCATCCACAGTTTTAGCTATCCGCGGTTTACCGTACTCCACTGTACTCCACTTTATAGAAACAAAGTTTGTTTGTGTGATAAGTATATTTTTTCTCACACTGCAATGATTAATATACGTACTTTTTTTTTTTAAATTCTTCATTGAACAGTTCTTACTGTTCAGGGTTTTTAATTTCCTCTCATAATTTCAGATGGCTGTATCGTCATGAGTGTGGCATCCAGAGTATAGAGAGTGCCCTCATCACCCTCCAGGTGGCCATTCAATACCTCTGTCCGGAGTTGGCCGAGATGTGTGTAGAATATATTACACAGCACCTGAGTGTCAACAATGTTCTCCGGGTGCTGCAAGAAGTCTATCGATACTGCCCATCTCAGAATACCAGCTGCTACCAGACGGGCAATACAGTTTCAACTGCACCTTCAGCACCCAGCCTAGAAGACCTCGAAGACCTTACTCGGAGGTCTTTAAACGAGTGTGGCAAGGAAGAGTCTAAAGAAGAACAGTTGGAAAGATCTCAGCACACTATCCACAGCATGGCACAGCTCCAGGCTCTGTGTGATGAAGCAGATCTCAGGGACCCCACCGCATGTTGCACGGATCTTTTTAATGTGTGCCTTGAGGTAGTCGATCAGAACACACAAATTGTCCTGGACTCTGAACTTTTGGAAGAGTTAGATCGCAGTGCATTAGAGCTTATTTTGAGACGCCCAACGCTCAATGTTGCAAATGAGCTTCCATTATTTGAGGCACTGCAGCGCTGGGCAACCGCACAATGCAAACGTCACAAGCTTCCCCTTACCCAAGCAAACAGAAGGGCTGTTCTAGGGAACCTACTCTATTATATACATTTCTTGCAGCTAAATAATGAACAACTTCAACAAACCAGCAGCCTTCTCTCTTCTGATGAATTCAACTACCTCAGTGGACGAATCCTCGGCCACGACACAGCGACTGTACCACCTACTCTGGCAGCGCAGTTATCCGAGATGGCCAACCCTCGGCGCCCCAGCCCTACAAGGTCACCACAGCAAGCCACCAATGGTAAAATTAAGAAGAAGTGCAACACAGGCAAGAAGAAATATACCAGAAAGGAACTCATACTAGATATTGTCTCTTGCTTGGCAGTAATCTTTGATTAGGCTTCACTATATACCTCAAGTATACCTGGAGGGTGTTCTGGGAGTCAGTTCATGACCAAGCCTTGCAGTGGCTCAGGGCCTGATCAACCAGGCTGTTACTGCTGGCTGCATGCAAACACATGAAACACAGCCCAGCTGGTCAGGTACTGATTGCAGCTGTCTATCCAGCTCCCTCTTGAAGACAGTTAGGTGTCTTGAAGACAGCCAGGTGTCTGGAAGACAGCCAGGGGTCTTGAAGACAGCCAGGGGTCTTGAAGACAACAAGGGGTCTTGAAGATAGCCAGGGGTCTTGAAGACAGCCAGGGGTCTTGAAGACAACAAGGGGTCTTGAAGACAGCCAGGGGTCTTGAAGACAACAAGGGGTCTTGAAGACAACAAGGGGTCTTGAAGACAACAAGGGGTCTTGAAGACAACAAGGGGTCTTGAAGACAGCCAGGGGTCTTGAAGACAACAAGGGGTCTTGAAGACAGCCAGGGGTCTTGAAGACAACAAGGGGTCTTGAAGACAACAAGGGGTCTTGAAGACAGCCAGGGGTCTTGAAGACAACCAGGGGTCTTGAAGACAGCCAGGGGTCTTGAAGACAGCCAGGGGTCTTGAAGACAGCCAGGGGTCTTGAAGACAGCCAGGGGTCTATTGCTGTAGCTTATATTCTAATAGTATACAGTAGTCACTTTGTCACAAAATATTTTGTAGGGATAAAATCCCTAAGTTCTATATTACAGTGTTAATCCCATAAGGGTCATACATCACCCTGGGAATAGGTGGTAATTCAATCTGATCCAGTTCCTTGAATGAAGAGCCCTTAGAGCATCCCTTTCCCTTGAAGGGCTAAAATTCCTAAGCTTCATGAGCATATTATCTGCTTCCACTGGCTGTCCTCATTCTTGTTATATATTTATAGGGATGCTCTAAACCCATAGGGATCATACAGCCCCCCCTTAAAATTGCATTTTTTTTAAGTTTTAGGATAACGATTTGCAGTAACCAGTCATTAAATTGTTATTGGTTAAGAAAAGCCATTTTAAGTAGAATACATATTTGATATGTTTATCATTTATCAGTAAATAACATGAAACGTTGATGTTATTGTAGTCAGTGAATTTTATGTGACTTGATTAAAGTTATCAATGTGTTATTGATGTGTTAAATCATTAATTTTTTGATACTGTAGTTTTTTATATAGTATATATATCAAATATTGTTTGTATTAGACAAGACACATTCGAAGAATAGAGTCTGAGGATTGTAATAGATCAAAATGTGAAGCATCTTCCAGGAATGTGCATTCAACTTATACACCGTGTATACATGTACTTATTTGTGAATGTGTGTGTGTGTGTGTGTGTGTGTGTGTGTGTGTGTGTGTGTGTGTGTGTGTGTGTGTGTGTGTGTGTGTGTGTGTGTGTGTGTGTGTGTGTGTGTGTATATGTGTGTGTGTATATGTGTGTGTGTGTGTGTGTGTGTGTGTGTGTGTGTGTGTGTGTGTGTGTGTGTGTGTGTGTGTGTGTGTGTGTGTGTGTGTGTGTGTGTGTGTGTGTGTGTGTATGTGTGTGTGTGTGTTTGTGTGTATGTGCAAGCATTTGTACGTGCACGAGTAGTCACCTATTTGTGGGCGCAGGGGCTGATTTGTAGCTCCTGGCCCACCTGTTCTCTGGTTGCCACTAGGTCCACTCTTCCCCTGTTCCAAGAGCTTTATTGTACCTCTTTGTGTGTGTGTGTGTGTGTGTGTGTGTGTGTGTGTGTGTGTGTGTGTGTGTGTGTGTGTGTGTGTGTGTGTGTGTGTGTGTGTGTGTGTGTGTGTGTGTGTGTTGTGTGTAGGATATTTAAAGAGGTTTTAACTTTCAAATCTGTTAAGTAATGTTTGTTTAAAAACAGTCTAGTAAAAAGTATTGAGTATAATTTCATTATATGTTGTACACTGTACAATAAATGGTCTAGTCAATTTTCTCTGAACATGACACAGCATAGAAACCACAGGGAATAAAGCCTTTAAATGGCAATGTTGCAACATAGTATATTATTCATGGTATGCAATACTGATACACTAATGAATAACAAATGGCCAACACTTGGGTATCTTTATCTTAAGTCTGCCCAAAATGCCTAGGCAGGATAATGGCTTTCTCAGCTCCATTCATACCATATGTAAACACACATTGTAACCTTAGTAAAGAAATAAATATTTTATTTTATTTATTTTATTTAATGATGAAATTCTCTGCCCATTAAGGGGCTTTCTGCATTCTAAATGTCACTCATCTGTCAACAAACACCGTACAGTAAATCCTCGACTTACGAATACATTGAGAATGTTCCGTATTGGAGTTTACCTGGAGAGAGTTCTGGGGGTCAACGCCCCCGCGGCCCGGTCTGTGACCAGGCCTCCTGGTGGATCAGAGCCTGATCAACCAGGCTGTTGCTGCTGGCTGCACGCAAACCAACGTACGAGCCACAGCCCGGCTGATCAGGAACTGACTTTAGGTGCTTGTCCAGTGCCAGCTTGAAGACTGCCAGGGGTCTGTTGGTAATCCCCTTTATGTGTGCTGGGAGGCAGTTGAACAGTCTCGGGCCCCCTGTGTATAATATTATTATATATTATTATACACAATACAAAAGGTCCCCAATGTATTTGTAAAATGAAGACTTATGTATTATGAATATTATATACAATTCATAAGGTCCCCAATGTATTTGTAAGCTGAGGATTACTCTACCATGCTGGGATAAAGAATCTTAAATCCTAAGTGAAGTGTTGCAGCTATACAGCAGGCTTCTTCAGTCAAATACAGGGGGATATATAACACTGTAGACAAAGTTTTAGTTTTGATGGTATCAGTCCATGAGTGTTAACAGGTTACTGTCTCAGGGTTGAGGGACTAACACCTTGTACCAGGGTTGATGGCTCAGTTGGAAGAGCACTTGTTTTACATGCTGAGTGTCTGGGGTTAAATCTCTGGCATGCATGGCAACACTGGGCATGTTTCCTTACACCTGCTGTCCCTGTTCACCTAGCAGTAAGTAGGTACCTGAGTGTTAGTCACCTTACATATGCTGTCCCTTTTCACCGGGCAGTAAGTAGGTATCTAGGTATTAGTCACCTTACACCTGCTGTCCCTGTTCACCTAGCAGTAAGTAGGTACTTGGGTGTTAGGTGCAGGGTGTGGGTGGCATCCTAGGGGATAAGACTGAAGGACCACAATGGAAATAAGACTGACAGTCCTCAGTGACCCACTGACTTTACTGGGTTATCCTGGGTAACTAACCCTCCAGGTTAAAAATCTGAACAAATCTTACCACCTCCAAACTATGGCAGAAATTTTCATCAATAAAGATACTAAACAAGTGTTGCACAGTTGTCCTATTAATTTTTTTACAGCATAAAAAATTTCCTATATGTTTTTATTCTCACAATGAAACACAAACTCTGTAAAGGTCACACACTGCTTGAGGAATGGGTGATAATTGGATAAGAAACGGGTAATAACTGGATAAGAAATGGGTGATAATTGGATAAGAAATGGGAGATAATTGGATACGATCTGAGGAAAGAAGGGAGTAACCCCAGTTCCTTGGAATGAGGGATCTTCGCCAGAATAGGATAACTAGCTATGGTGTGTTGTCACACACAACAACAAGCAGTGTGGTGGGCAGGAAACTCGTACTGAACGAGTTTTGACTTGGATGAATTAAGGTCAGGTGTCATTTAATAATTCATACTAGACTGAATATCGTACTATTCAGATTCATACCAATCAAGGCTTTGCTTGATTATTATTATATTATTATCACTATTATTTTTTTTTTATTATTATCACACTGGCCGATTCCCACCAAGGCAGGGTGGCCTGAAAAAGAAAAACTTTCACCATCATTCACTATTATTATTGATAGTAATATCTTCAAGGGAGGTCCCTTAACACTGGCTGAAGGCAGGTCTTGTTCCAAGGCACTGAATTTACCCTCTTCCTTGGATTGAACTTGAATGCCTCCTATTCTCCCAGGCACTGTGTGACCCTACAGGTTTAGCACTCTTTCCAGTACTATAATAATAATCCATATATAATTCTAAGCATTCATTTTTATTCTACTATTTCTTCAACATTCCAACCACCATAATTCTTTACTGTGTTTAAATTATACAAGAGACATCTGGTGTATTATAATATAATCATGAAGAAGCACTAAACCCACAAGGGTAGTCATCCAGTGTATAATGCTAAGGAAACAAAATATAAGTAGAGTCGCTCCATTACTCATGAACAGGTTCAGTTCCGAGCAGTCGTTCAAAAGTCTATTTGTTCGTAAGTCCAATATGTGTACGTATATGGTATTGTACAGTAGTGTAGTATATGTAGGTATGAACATGGAGCAACCTAGAAATGTATATACCTGGAGTATACCTGGAGAGGGTTTCAGGGATCAGCGCCCCTGTGGCCCGGTCTGTGACCACGTCACAACAGTTTAAACATATACATGTACGTGAATAAAGGAAAAATACACACTGTACACTAGCAAACAACACATGTTATAAATGAAATGAAGTTTATAATGTTAATAATAAATTTTTTACTACAAGGCAAATTGACTGTAATATCGAAAGTTCGCAACACAAATGTTCATATGTAGGGAGTCTCTGTACTATGCGAGGTGTGTTATAATAGAGAATATACAGGGTGTTTCAAAATGATTGACCCCATTCAACATGTTACGATTTCAAATTGGATCCATCTCTTTGAAACACCCTGTATCTGTGCAAACTTCCGTGAAGATTGCCGCTCTCACACTCATATTAAGTTTTAAATACAAAAAAATAAATTATAAAAAATCCAGTTGATTTTTTTATCAAAATGCATCCTAAAAAATCACGAGATTATGTAATTCACGAATGACAACATTACCCACATTTCTTGATGCTATGTGAGGCACTTCCAAAATAAGCTCAATAAGTGCGAATTTTAAAAATATATACATTTTTTTCAAAGTTTACAGCTCATAATTCATGAACTCATACAAAATATTTTGATCATTCATAAGTTTTGTTTTGTAGTTTTAGTTAAATATCTTCATTATGCAGCCCATACCCTTCCTGTGGGTGGTAATCAAAAGATTAGAAAGGTACAATGGGTCCAGGGACTGTACCTCAACATTACAGAGGTACAATGAACCAGGGTGGATGACAGGTTCATGAACCAAGATAGATGACTGGTGTTCATGAACCAAGGTGGATGGCTGGGGTTCATGAACCTGCAGCTTGGTCTGAGACCAGGCCTCGTGGTGGATCAGGGTCTGATCAACCAGGCTGTTACTGCTGACCGCATGCAAACTGATGTACGAACCACAGGTGGATGGCTGGGGTTCATGAAACATTATGCATCAGCAACCAGAATCTAGTGGTACAAAACATTCAATTTTTTTTACTTTATTACAGCTATACTAGGTTAAATCCTCCTAAGTTAACTATATAATACACTGTAAATACTTTTCAATATGCCCATAACAGCTGTCTGCCATTAAGTTTATTATATAGTAATTATTTTTATTATTTTAAGGGACTTACAAATTTGAAGAAGTTGTTTTGTCTCTTTTCAGGTGTTTTAGAACATAACCCAATTTTTTCTATTAAATATTCACTCCACCTTTCGCATTGTCACGAATTACTCGGATTTTTAGGAATATGACGATTATGACCATTACAAAAGGTTGAGGCCAACTGTGTATGTACATGTATGTATAAAGTAAGCCACAACATCCTGCTTCTTAAATTAGAACTTTATGGTATCAGAGGTCATGCTTTTTCATACTTAAAGTCCTGGAGTCTACCCGGAGGGTGTTCCAGGGGTCAATGCCCCCATGGCCCAGTCCATCACCAGGCCTCACGGTGGATTAGGACCTGATCAACCAGGCTCTTAATGATGGCTGTAAGCAAACCAATTTACGGACCACAGCCTGGCAGACACCATCAAGTCTCCATCAACAACACAATCTTGTTAAGTCAACCTAAGGATACCCCAGGACCATGTTTTTGAACCTCTGCTGTTTCAACTACATTAAATTCTCAACTAAATTCTTTACTTCAAAACTACTGTACATACATGCAAAACATACAATAATCTAAAGGTCCATATGATGCACAGCATTTTGCGTAAAAATTAGTCTAGTCCCAAAAATTTACATAGTTTAATTTTTATTTTAAAGGCCAAATACTGTGTATTAAAAGGAGCTTAAAGATACAAGTTATGAAATGTTCCGGGAATTAAAAAATAAATATTTTGTAATCGTCTAGTTATAAGAGGAACAGCAGCAATAATTTATGAAGTTAAAATACGAAGCAATACAATGCCACAAAAGTTCTCTGGTGCCAATTACTGAAGTTGCAAGTTCTCTAGTACCAGTGAACTATAGATATGTAGATATAAATCCAAATGTACACCTGCTAACCCTTTTGGGGCCTAGTTCCTAGGCCTTTTGTGTATCCATATGCTCTTGTGCTACCATCCACAGGATGGATATGGGGTGCACAATAAACTAGCCACTTCGATGGAAAAATGTAAAAATCTGATCAGTTAAGAACAAGGGTAATACACAGGAACAAGGAATCACAACTAGAAGTTAACTCGAGTCACAGGGATGTCAGGAAGTATTTCTTCAGTAATGGAGTTATCACGAAGTGGAACAATCTGGAAAGCGATGTAGTGGAGCGGGATCCATACATAGCTTTAAGAAGAGGTATGTACTATGTAGAATTCTTTGTAAAACAGCTATATCTGAAAGATGGGATTGCAGAATGATAATATATGAAAACAGGAAGAAAAAAGGGAGAAAGAAGAAGCACAGGAGAATGAATAATGAATGAAAATTGGTAGGCTAAGATAAGATTTGCTTGAATTTTTAACCTGGAGGGTTAGCCACCCAGGATAATACTGAGTAAGGAGGGTTAGCTACCCAAGATAATACTGGGTAAGAAGGGTTAGTCACCCAGGATAATACTGGATAAGGAGGGTTAGCTACCCAGGATAATACTGGATAAGGAGGGTTAGCCACCCAGGATAATACTGGGTAAGGAGGGTTAGCTGCCCAGGATAATACTGGATAAGGAGGGTTAGCCACCCAGGATAATACTGGATAAGGAGGGTTAGCCACCCAGGATAATACTGGATAGGAAGGGTTAGCCGACCAGGATAGACCAAGAAAGTCATTGGATCTATCTTATTTCCACTGTGGTCCTTCAATCTTGCTCCCCAAGATGTCACCCACACCAGTCACCTAACACACAGGTACCTACTTACTGCTAGGTGAACAGTGACAGCAGGTGTTAGTAGACTAACACCCAGGTACCTACTTACTGCTAGGTGAACAGTGACAACAGGTGTTAGTAGACTAACACCCAGGTACCTACTTACTGCTAGGTGAACAGGGTCAGCAAGTCAGCAACTACTAACACTCTTAACTCTTGAACCATCTTAGGAAAGGTACCAAAATTTCTGCACTGGAGCTTAAACTGTCTTTGGAAGAAGGGGCTTTTATTATTACTATTTTTATTTAGGGGGCTATGGGGCTGAGAGTATTTTTTCTGGGGTACCAGCACTGACATCAAGAATCCCAATGGAAATATGTCACTTGGACTTCTTTTAGGGGTTATCCATGAGGCCTGGTCACAGACCGGGCTGCAGGGGCGTTGACCCCTGGAACTCTCTCCAGGTAAACTCCAGGTATACATGAATGTTAAATCATGTATGATAATTGTACCTATGTGTACCTGTATGTAAGAAAACTTTATATCTTGAAAATAGTATAAAATACCAAGAGGCTGAGGGACTGACACCATCGAATACTATTTTTTTAAGGTTGATGGACTGATTACGTACATCATTTGCATTACACTACTACACCTGCTTAGTCTGCATTTGACTAAAGAAGCCTACTGTGTAGGCGAAATGCTTCAACAATAGCAGTACCCAACTGTTGCACATGTGTCTTAATCAAGGACCACAATGGAAATAAGTCATTGACTTCTTTGGGCTATTCTGGTAAGTAAGTTACACATATATCACTGTGTATGATAATTTGTGTAAGTGTATTTATGTATACCTGTGCCTGAATAAACTTTCTGACCTTAGAGAAGTGCTGCAAAGTCAGCACTTCTCTCAGTCAGTAAGTCAGCACTCCTTGCAGGAACTGACATCATTCAAGAAAGTGGAAGATGGGTCACTGTGTTTTTAATATAACTTTGATGAGCTGCGATAGTATTTTTACTCATGGAGCCTGGCCTATGGCTGGGCTTGTCTGGTGCTTGCCTGGTCAACCAGGCTGTTGCTGCTGGTGGCCTGCTGACCCACATATCCACTGCAGCCTGGCTGATCTGGCACCTGGTGAAGATACTGGTCCAGTTTTCTCTTGAAGACTTCTACACTTGTTCCAGTAGTGTTACTGATAACTTGAAGACTTCTACAGTTATTCCAGCAGTGTTTCTGCTATCTTGAAGACTTCTACACTTGTTCCAGCAGTGTTTTTGAAATCTTGACGACTTCTAGCAGTGTTTCTGATATCTTGAAGACTTCTACACTTGTTCCAGCAGTGTTTCTAATATCTTGAAGACTTCTACACTTGTTCCAGCAGTGTTTCTAATGTCTTGAAGACTTCTACACTTGTTCCAACAGTGTTTTTGATATCTTGAAGACTTCTACACTTGTTCCAGCAGTGTTTTTGATATCTTGACTTCTACACTTGTTCCAGCAGTGTTTTTGATATCTTGAAGACTTCTATGCTTGTTCCAGCAGTGTTTTTGATATCTTGAAGACTACTACACTTGTTCCAGCAGTGTTTTTGATATCTTGAAGACTTCTACATTTGTTCCAGCAGTGTTTCTAATGTTTTGAAGACTACTACACTTGTTCCAGCAGTGTTTTTTGATATCTTGAAGACTTCTACACTTGCTCCAGCAGTGTTTCTAATGTTTTGAAGACTACTACACTTGTTCCAGCAGTGTTTTTGATATCTTGAAGACTTCTACATTTGTTCCAACAGTGTTTTTGATATCTTGAAGACTTCTACACTTGCTCCAGCAGTGTTTCTAATGTTTTGAAGACTTCTACACTTGTTCCAGCAGTGTTTTTGATATCCTGAAGACTTCTACACTTGTTCCAGCAGTGTTTTTGATATCTTGAAGACTTCTATGCTTGTTCCAGCAGTGTTTTTGATATCTTGAAGACTACTACACTTGTTCCAGCAGTGTTTTTGATATCTTGAAGACTTCTACATTTGTTCCAGCAGTATTTCTAATGTTTTGAAGACTACTACACTTGTTCCAGCAGTGTTTTTTGATATCTTGAAGACTTCTACACTTGCTCCAGCAGTGTTTCTAATGTTTTGAAGACTACTACACTTGTTCCAGCAGTGTTTTTGATATCTTGAAGACTTCTACATTTGTTCCAACAGTGTTTTTGATATCTTGAAGACTTCTACACTTGCTCCAGCAGTGTTTCTAATGTTTTGAAGACTTCTACACTTGTTCTAGCAGTGTTTTTGATATCCTGAAGACTTCTACACTTGTTCCAGCAGTGTTTTTGATATCTTGAAGACTTCTATGCTTGTTCTAGCAGTGTTTTTGATATCTTGAAGACTTCTACACTTGTTCCAGCAGTGTTTTTGATATCTTGAAGACTTCTATGCTTGTTCCAGCAGCGTTTTTGATATCTTGAAGACTTCTACACTTGTTCCAGCAGTGTTTTTGATATCTTGAAGACTTCTACATTTGTTCCAGCAGTGTTTTTGATATCTTGAAGACTTCTACACTTGTTCCAGCAATGTTTCTAATATTTTGAAGACTTCTACACTTGTTCCAGCAGTGTTTCTGATATCTTGAAGACTTCTACACTTGTTCAAGCAGTGTTTCTGGTATCTTGAAGACTTCTAGCAGTGTTTCTGATATCTTGAAGACTTCTACACTTGTTCCAGCAGTGTTTTTGATATCTTGAAGACTTCTATGCTTGTTCCAGCAGTGTTTTTGATATCTTGAAGACTTCTACACTTGTTCCAGCAGTGTTTCTGATATCTTGAAGACTTCTACGCTTGTTCCAGCAGTGTTTTTGATATCTTGAAGACTTCTACACTTGTTCCAGCAGCGTTATTTGATATCTTGAAGACTTCTACACTTGTTCCAACAGTGTTTTTGATATCTTGCAGACTTCTATACTTGTTCCAGCAATGTTTCTAATATTTTGAAGACTTCTACACTTGTTACAGCAGTGTTTCTGATATCTTGAAGACTTCTACACTTGTTCCAGCAATGTTTCTGATATCTTGAAGACTTCTACACTTGTTCCAGCAGTGTTTCTGGTATCTTGAAGACTTCTAGAAGTGTTTCTGATATCTTGAAGACTTCTACACTTGTTCCAGCAATGTTTCTAATATCTTGAAGGCTTCTACACTTGTTCCAGCAGTGTTTCTAACATCTTTAAGACTTCTTTACTTGTTCCAGCAGTGTTTCTGATATCTTGAAGACTTCTACACTTGTTCTGGCAGTGTTTTTGATATCCTGAAGACTTCTAGCAGTGTTCTAGCAGTGTTTCTGATATCTTGAAGACTTCTACACTTGTTCCAGTAGTGTTTCTAATATCGTGAAGACTTCTACACTTGTTCCAGCAGCGATTCTGGTATCTTGAAGACTTCTAGCAGTGTTCTAGGAGTGTTTCTGATATCTTGAAGACTTCTATACTTGTTCCAGCAGTGTTTCTAATATCTTGAAGACTTCTACACTTGTTCCAGTAGTGTTTCTAATATCTTGAAGACTTCTACGCTTGTTTCAGCAGTGTTTCTGATATCTTGAAGATTTCTACACTTGTTCCAGCAGTGTTTTTGATATCTTGAAGACTTCTACACTTGTTCCAGCAGTGTTTCTGATATCCTGAAGACTTATACTTGATCCAGCAGTGTTTCTAATATCTTGAAGACGTCTATGCTTGTTCCTGCAGTGTTTCTGATACCTTGAAGACTTCTACACTTCCAGTAGTGTTTCTGATATCTTGAAGATTTCTACACTTGTTCCAGCAGTGTGTCTGATATCTTGAAGACTTCTACACTTGTTCCAGCAGTGTTTCTGATATCTTGAAGATTTCTGCACTTGTTCCAGCAGTGTTTCTGATATCTTGAGGACTTCTACACTTGTTCCAGCAGTGTTTCTAATATCTTGAAGACTTCTACACTTGTTCTAGCAGTGTTTCTGATATCTTGGGGACTATGCTTGTTCCAGCAGTGTTTCTGATATCTTGAAGACTTCTACGCTTGTTTCAGCAGTGTTTCTGATATCTTGAAGACTTTTACACTTGTTCCAGCAGTGTTTTTGATATCTTGAAGACTTCTACACTTGTTCCAGCAGTGTTTCTGATATCCTGAAGACTTATACTTGTTCTAGCAGTGTTTCTAATATCTTGAAGACGTCTACGCTTGTTCCAGCAGTGTTTCTGATACCCTGAAGACTTCTACACTTCCAGTAGTGTTTCTGATATCTTGAAGATTTTTGCACTTGTTCCAGCAGTGTTTCTGATATCTTGAAGACTTCTACACTTGTTCCAGCAGTGTTTCTGATATCTTGAAGATTTCTGCACTTGTTCCAGCAGTGTTTCTGATATCTTGAGGACTTCTACACTTGTTCAAGCAGTGTTTTTAATATCTTGAAGATTTCTGCACTTATTCCAGCAGTGTTTCTGATATCTTGAAGACTTCTACACGTGTTCCAGCAGTGTTTCTGATATCTTGAAGATTTCTGCACTTGTTCCAGCAGTGTTTCTGATATCTTGAGGACTTCTACACTTGTTCCAGCAGTGTTACTTATATCCTGAAGGCTTCTGCACTTGTTCCAGCAGTGTTTCTGGTATCTTGAAGACTTCTACACTTGTCCCAGCAGTGTTTCTGATATCTTGAAGACTTCTACACTTGTTCTAGCAGTGTTTTTGATATCTTGAAGACTTCTACACTTGTTCCAGCAGTGTTTCTGATATCTTGAAGATTTCTGCACTTGTTCCAGCAGTGTTTCTGATATCTTGAGGACTTCTACACTTGTTCCAGCAGTGTTTCTAATATCTTGAAGACTTCTACACTTGTTCTAGCAGTGTTTCTGATATCTTGAGGACTACACTTGTTCCAGCAGTGTTTCTGATATCTTGAAGACTTCTACGCTTGTTTCAGCAGTGTTTCTGATATCTTGAAGACTTTTACACTTGTTCCAGCAGTGTTTTTGATATCTTGAAGACTTCTACACTTGTTCCAGCAGTGTTTCTGATATCCTGAAGACTTATACTTGTTTCAGTAGTGTTTCTGATATCTTGAAGACTTTTACACTTGTTCCAGCAGTGTTTCTGATACCCTGAAAACTTCTACCCTTCCAGTAGTGTTTCTCATATCTTGAAGATTTTTGCACTTGTTCCAGCAGTGTTTCTGATATCTTGAAGACTTCTACACTTGTTCCAGCAGTGTTTCTGATATCTTGAAGATTTCTGCACTTGTTCCAGCAGTGTTTCTGATATCTTGAGGACTTCTACACTTGTTCCAGCAGTGTTACTTATATCCTGAAGGCTTCTGCACTTGTTCCAGCAGCGTTTCTGGTATCTTGAAGACTTCTACACTTGTCCCAGCAGTGTTTCTGATATCTTGAAGACTTCTACACTTGTTCTAGCAGTGTTTTTGATATCTTGAAGACTTCTACACTTGTTCCAGCAGTGTTTCTGACATCTTGAAGATTTCTGCACTTGTTCCAGCAGTGTTTCTGATATCTTGAAGACTTCTGCACTTGTTTCAGCAGTGTTACTGATATCTTCTGCTAAGATGTTGAACAGTCTTGGTCCACAGACGTTAATGCAGTGAACAATGCGTAACCACCTATGGACCACCTCCCTAGTTCAGCTATCAAAACTCTGGGGTACAGTTCCTGGACCCATTACGTACCTCTGTAATTTTTTCACTACCGCCCACAAGATGGGTATGGTGTGCATAATAAACATATTAAACTAACTGGGCCACCTCCCACAGCACCACCGGCTGAATGAAGCATATAAGGAAACAGAGAAAGTATTATAGGGTATTACAGGGCAGTGTTATAGGCTGAAATAGGGATTTAATAGGTAGTCAACACAATGCAGAGCATTGTTTGAGGTGGCTGACAGTATTAGAAGCGGAAATGGGGAGTTAATAGGTAGTTTAACATATAAAGTTTATAGGTAGAGCATCTGACAGTATTATAGACTGAAATAGGGAGTTAATAGAGAGTAAATAGGTAGTTATTGGGGAGTATAATACAAGACCGAGTGTTTTTTGACTTGTCTGATAGTTTTAGAAGCTGAAACAGAGGGTTAATAGATAGTTTAACATATAAAGTTTCAAGCTAGAGTATCTGACAGTATTATAGGGTGAAATAGGGGTTAAATAGGGAGTTAATAGGTAATATAAGAGGGTATAAGAGAGGGTGTCGCGCATGCTCGCCTCAGTCACCCATCAGAGCTTCAGGAGGGAGGTGCTGCTCCTTCTTATTCCCTGGATATTAAACCCACATTCTCACCCTGGATATTACCCACGTTTAGTGCTAGCCGTGTGTAGTGACCAGTGCTATGTGATATGTGTTTGTCTCCCGCCAAGGAGAGTGAAGAAAAGCCCCAGGATAAAAAATTGAAACTCTGGAATACGGTGAGAGGCGATTTTTTTTCCCATCTGTTTGGACAATCTTGAGTTTTTTGGGGGGTTTATTTTTCGTGGTTTATGTATGTAATGGGGGTTTATTTTGACGTATGCGGTGTGGTTTAGTGGTTTTATCCCCCTAGAAATGTGGCTTTTTAAAGGTTTAATGTTTTATGTAGTGTAAATTACTAGTGAACTTCAAGTCATTGACACTTTTTTTATGTTTATTCTGGTTTATTTTCATATTTTCTACTCTATTCTTCACCCCAAGAATAAATTATTGGGTAAACCGTGTTCTTAATGGTGGTTTTATAAACCATATGGTATCCTAGGTGATTAAACCCTAATGGAACTTGTCGCATTGTTTTGGGTTTATTCTGGCTCTTATATACGTGGTTTTTTTAATTCCTGGCAGACTGGGTTGTGGTTTTTTTCTTAAATATTGGTCAATCAGGCTGTTATTAGCGACCCTAATGGAAATAAATCACTGACTGGCCTTTTTCGGGGGGTTATTTTAAGCTCCATGACCCCTTGTGGGTTTAGCGCTTATGATTATAGTAAAAATGGGTTATACTGGGTAATTTGTTACTGTGTATAATTGTGTACCTGTGCCTAAATAAAATTACCTGCCTACCCAGAGGCCTTTTTTGGGGTTATTCTAGGTAATTTACACATGTTGAACTATATAATAATTGTACCTATGTGTATCTATATGCAAGTCAACTTTCTATGTTAAAAATGGTATAAAATACCAAGGCTGAGGGACTGACCCCCTTGAATACTATTTTTCCAAGGTTGATGGACTGATTACAACATTTTTACACCACTACACCTGCTGCCTCTGTATTTGACTGAAGAAGCCTACTGTGTGGGCTAAATGCTTCAATGATAGATTCCCAACTGTTGCAAGGACACCAATAATAATAATATATATTTCAACATGTAACAAGGTATACAGACCATAGCTGACATTAGTGACATACTATATAGAAAGCCCCTTCTTATGTAGAGCATTTCCTGCTAATTAGGTCAACTTTGTCCCAGGATGCGACCCACACCGGTCCACTAACACCCAGGTACCCATTTTACTGACGGGTGAACATGGACGGCTGGTGTAAGGAAACACGCAGTGTTTCTACCCTTGCTGGGAATTGAACCCGGTCACTCAGTGTGTGAAGCAAGAGTGTTGTCTACCAGGTCACAATAATTACCAATAGACCCCTGGCTGTCTTCAAGAGGGAGCTGGACAGATATCTGAAGTCAGTGCCGGATCAGCCGGGCTGTATACATGGAGGGGGTTATGGGGGTCAATGCCCATGAGGCCTGGTCTGTGACCAGGCCTCATGGTGGAACAGGGACTGATCAGCCAGGCCTGTTGGTCACAGCTGTGGTTCATACATTGGACTATGTGCAACCAGCAGTAATAGCCTAGTTGAGCAAGCCTTGATCCACCTGGAGGCCTGGTCATGGACCGGGCCATGGGGGCATTGATCCCCAGTATACCCTCCAGGTAGACGAGTCACTGACTTTCAGTTGCTGAATCGGCAAGTTATCCATGTGTTGGACGACTTGTTCAAATGTCGTCCAACAGAATTTAGGCTTAATTTAGATTAAGCTGTTAGACAAAGTCGTGACTATGATAATGATATACATAATACTAGCACAATGAATAAGAGTTTGCAATACTGGTATCTTTGACATATATAACTTGAGCCTACTCTGTAGGCAGAATGTCTCGGAAATGAGGATAACGATGTGTTACATATGACTTTTTCATAGGCAAGGACCCCAGTGGAAATAAGTAACTTGAATTTGAGGGTTATCCTAGGTAATTTACTCATGTTATAATGTATGATAATTTGAGTAACTGTATTTGTGTACCTCTACCTGAATAAACTTACTAGTGCCTTCCAAATACTACAGTGGATCCCCGGCTTACGATATTATTTCATTCCAGAAGTATGTTCAGGTCCCATTACTGAACGAATTTGTTCCCATAAGGAATATTGTGAATTAGATTAGTCCATTTCAGACCCCCAAACATACATGTACAAACGCACTTACATAAATACACTTACATAATTGGTCGCATTGGGAGCTGATCGTAAACCGGGGGTCCACTGGACTAAATTTATAAATGAGAGAATGTTTTGCCAGTAAGAATATATCAGTGACTTCTCCTGACAAACTGGCACCTTGATTGTAGGTGAGGGGACTGGTATTCATATACAGTGGACCCCCGCATAACGATCACCTCCGAATGCGACCAATTATGTAAGTGTATTTATGTAAGTGCATTTGTACGTGTATGTTTGGGGGTCTGAAATGGACTAATCTACTTCACAATATTCCTTATGGGAACAAATTCGGTCAGTACTGGCACCTGAACATACTTCTGGAGTGAAAAAATATCGTTAACCGGGGGTCCACTGTATAATAGTTACGTAGTTTATAAAACCAGATTACCTTCTATTTTGAGGTTCTGCAACCCTTACAGGTTAACATTTCCCTGTAACTAATAATCACTTATATTCGGAAACTATTTCAACCATAATAATATAAATTTATTTACTACAAGTACATGTATACATGGTATACAGTCCTAGCTGATATCAGTGACAGTTATATAGAAAGCCTGTTATGTAGAGCATTTTGGGCAAGTTAGGTCCTTGTCCCAGGATACAACCCACACCAGCCTACTAACTCCTAGGTACCCATTTCACTGATGGGTGAATATAGACAACCAGTGTAAAGAAACACGCCCAATGTTTCTATCCACACTGGAAATCAAGTGCAGACCCTTGCCATGTGAAGCGAGAACTTTAGTGATCAGGCCAAGGAGCACCACAATAATGTTCTGACTCCATATACAGTCTAAATAACCTAAACAATGGTTTTCTCTTAGTTAAATTTGGGAACTAGTATATAGGAAGATCATTTATCATGTTGATTGGTGCTTTATTTCCTTTGCTATTTATATATCGAATAGCCCTCAAGGGAGGTTCCTGTATTTCAGCATGATACAATGTTTGTTCAGAGATGGGTGACATTTAGATGTGCATGCAGAAAGCCCCTTAATATGCAGAGCATTTCTGGCAAACTTAAGCCTATCTTAAGACTAACAAGGCAATAATTGATTGCTTAGTATGTATATACATACAGTCTCTAAGTGGTTGTAACAATAATTTCAGAAATTACAGTGAACACTTTTATCAAGTTTAGTTTGCTGAACACTTTCAATGTACAGTGGACCCCCGGTTAACGAACTTTTTTCATTCCAGTAGTATGTTCAGGTGCCAGTACTGACCGAATTTTTTCCCATAAGGAATATTGTGAAGTAGATTAGTCCATTTCAGACCCCCAAACATACACGTACAAACGCACTTACATAAATACACTAACATAATTGGTCGCATTTGGAGGTGATCGTTAAGCGGGGGTCCACTGTATTTAATGGTTGTGAGGATTGCAGATAATGAGAATAAGACTATTTTTTTTATTGAAGGGCTTTTGATAAAAGAAATTAAGCTTGTCCTTCCCTTGGATTAATTCTAATATCCTCCCATTTCCCAGGTGCTGTATGACTTCTGGTTCAGTACTTTACCCTAAATATAAGGCATCCTATGGAAGGTTAGGGGGTCCTGCTTATTTAGGTTGTAAACATAAGGTATGTGGTTAATTGGTAGGGTCTTTGGTTTGCATCCGAGGGACTTGGGTTAATCCCTATGGCAGGAGATATTGTACATGTTCTGTTAGCATAGCAAATAAGTACCTGGGTTTTAATTTACTACACTGAAAGTGATACAGATGTTCCCAAGCCATCAGTCAGTTGAGGGAAGTCTCTAGTATTTTCAGTCTGGTGAAGAGTTCTTCGCTATATCAGTTTGGTACGATTATCAGGAAGCACCATACTAGTATAACCAAACATAATTTTTGTTTGATAACTGAGCTATTTCTTTACAAATATGAAGGCTTGCCACCTGGATAACAAGCAGAGTTTGGTGATTTGAAAAGTTGTAGACTTTACCAGACAATCTGTTGTCTCATCTTTGGGGATGACTGAAGGACTTCAGTAGAAATAAGTAACATTGCTTGTCTTGGGTTATTAACCCTCTGGGGGTAAATAAACTATCTTCCCATGTAACTATAAATAACTCCGCCTATAAGGGTACTTGGTAGGCAACGCTCTCGCCTCGCTGTTTCCGTGGTTTGACCCCTGGTAAGGGCAGAAACTGGATGTGTTTCCTTACACCTACTTTCCTCATTCACCTAGCAAACAAATAGGTACCTGGATGTTAGTCGATTGGTGTGGGTCGCATCCTGGAGGACAAGCGTGAGGGCTCCAATATAAATAAGTCCCTCAATGATGCCTTCTGGGGTTAAAAATTCGAACATCTTATCTTAATGTACAGTGGTCCCTCAATTATTGTCCATAATCCGTTCCTGGAAGTGGGACTATTATCGAAATAGACGATTTTTGAATCGATTTTCCCCATAAGAAATAATGTAAATACAGTTAATCCATTCCTGACACCCAGAAGTATTAAAACAAAAATTTTTTTTTACATGAAATATAGATGTAGTACATAAACAATACAATGGCACATGATGAATGAAACATTAACAGCATAACACTTACCTTTATTGGTGATTCTTCTTAGTGTATGGAAGACTGGAGGAGGAGGGACATTGAATTACTGTTTGGAAGGGGAATCCCCTTCCATCAACACCTCAGGTACCAAGTGCTTTTCTGGGGTTACTTCTCTTCTCTGTTTCTTAATACCACTAGGACCAGCTTGAGTCACTGGAGTCCTGTCTTGCAATGGAAATGAATGGTATAAAATACCGACACAATGGAAATATAAACACATATGCAGTATCTACCTCCACGACCATCAAGGACATTACCAGTAATAGACAGGACAAGCTTCCATCCTCTGCAGGGGTATACATAATCCCTTGTAATGACTGCAGCAAATTATACGTGGGCGAAACATCAAGAGGCCTCC